GAGCACGGGCCAAAGATACCAGAAGAGAAGAGAGAACGAGAGAACAACGAGAAGAGAGAGAGCAGAGAGAGACACAGGGAGAAGAGAGAGAGAGAGAAAAAAAAAAAATAGATCAGGAGAAGAGACCAAGACCAACCGAGAAGACGACGAGAGAGAGAGACAGACAGAGAACGACACAGAGACGAGCCAGACGAGACACCGAGACAGACACAGGCAGAGAGAGAAGAGAGAGAGAGAGACAGAACACAGAGAAGGACGAGAGCAGACGAGAAGAAGAGAGACAGACCACCAGCGAGAGAGAGAGACCACATTCACCCCTGGATTCTGTTTAAAACGCAGGATACTTCACACTTCATTTTTTCTTACTTTCTTTCATTCCATTGAACACGCTCGCTCCTTCGCATCTCTTGCGCGGCTTCTGCAGCAACCTCGACTTTTTGTTTTCCCTGACTATTCTCTATACAAGCAGGCCAGAACCCAAAAAACAAAACAAAAAACACAAAATGACTTGCTTGGCTCCTTCGCAAAATTAGTCAACCAACTAACTCACGCAATCAACAGCACCTCGGGTTTCGACCACAAACACTGTACAATCGCCACCAACCCAAACAGTGAAGTCAGTAACTGCAGGAAGTTTGTGTAAAACCAGTGATTTGGATGAATTATGAGCAGATTATTTCCTGTTTTTTCTTCTTTTTTTTTTTCCAATTCTCTCTATATTATGTATTATTTTATAATTCATAAATACATACATTTACTTTTCTTCACAGAAGTAAACCAAATGCTTAGATATAGGCTTACTGTGTATATATTTTAAGTTTTCTTACAACTCTTAAAATCAAGAAGGCCTCACGAACCCCCTGTGACGCTTTGGCGACCCCTAGTAGAGGTCCCCACCCCCATGTTGGGAACACCTGTTTTCTTATCACACTGATGTATGTTCTATTGTCAATTTAGTTAAGTAAAAGTTTGGTTTTAATAAGCTATTTGAAGCTATAAAATGGGGGTTTCCCGTCATGATTGACAGCTGAGGCCTGCTGGGCGGGACTTGAATTCCCTGGCTACCCCAGCCCCGAGTGATGGCAGCGGCTGTATCGGGCATATTTTGGCTTCATTTTTTTACAGTGTGAGGAAGCATCTCTTATATCAATGGGTTAAACACAGAGATACAGTTACCTCAGCAATTGGTATGTTGCCGTCAATGGAAGAAAATCCGACGCCGATCATCACCACACCAGACACCTGCAGAGACATAATGAAGGGAAAGAAAAGATGGATTGAACTGCTGTGACTGAGAGTTTGTTGGGTTTCACAGTAAAGAGGAAGTCTTTAGCAGCAGCAGCATTCCTCTGAAACCGTTTCAGTTTCCCCAGAGAGACGCTCATCAGACTCCCATCAGCTGGGAACTCTGACGGCTCTGAATCACAGACGTCATCTGCCTCACAGTCTTTAAGCTTTAAAGTTTCCAGGCTCTGTTGGCAGTCTTAGTAAATATTCTTACACTGAAACATTTTCTTGCAACCAGACTTTATCTGGAGGTTGTCAGTTTTTGCAGATACCGCTGTCCTTCAATGCAACAACAAATAAAGATACTGATATAATTAGAATTTCTTTTATGCTTTCATCCACAAAACACAAATATCTACAAATATATGATTAATAAAACAAACTAAAGCACAAACAATATGTTATGTAAATCTAGTTCCAAAAATGGATAACACATGCATACTAATTACTGTAATTAACTGATATAGTAAACAACAACAACACAGGATCCAAAACTGGAAACAGAACAGAAGCCAGTAAACAGAACAACACAATGGAATATTTTCAGAGTTTGTGCATTAATAAGACTAATAATAGTACATAGTGCTAGTTATTATCATAGTAATGATAGATCATGATATTATATTAGGTAAAGTGAACTTTGGCATTTTGAATTTGATAATTAATACAGTGGGAGGGAAGAAGAAAAGAAAACAGGAAATGAACAAGAAACCTAAACAAAGATTAAACACTAATTACACAACTAAACAAATTATGTAATATTATATCTTTTTTATTTACATAAACATTTTGTTTAAAAATCTATGTAATGCTGACATATCTTAAACATATCATTTTTGTTCTTCTTTGGCTGACTTATGTCGTTAATGAAATCAATTAATCAAACCTTTTTTTGTATTGCACCTTTCATACGTGCAATTCAAAGTACTTTACAAGGGACTGATTAGACAGCACAAACACAAAGAAAAAAATTGGAGAGTACTGCACACGGAAAATAGAAATGATGCAAGTGAAATGATAAAATAATAAAAAAGATCAAATATAAGACGTTCAAAGAAGTTTAAGTTTAAAGATTTAATCAGTTTCTGCACTAAAATCTCGTAAATATCATGTATATGTTAAAGAATATTAGCCTAAAGAATTCTTTCATGAAGTTATTTGTTTAAGAAAGCAGCATCCTGAGTACATTTGCATGGTCATATTGACTGAAGCTGGAAATATTACATTACTTTGATTTAAAAAAGCAGAAAAAGTAATATAACTAGTAGTGTAAGTAATTACTATTGGCTGTGAGTAATAAGTAAAATAATATTACTTTTGAGTAATGAGTAATAAATTTTTTTTTTTTTAGTAACTACCCCAACACTGGTCCTGTGTCACCAAGAGTCACACAAAGCAGGGTGTCATCAGCATATAGATTAGAAAATAGAGGCTCTAAAATTGATCCCTGAGGAACGCCGCAAGTGGGGTGTTTTGAGAAATGTTCAAATATTGACTCAAACAGTCCAACATGTTCCCTAAGTCTGTTTAAAGTGATTTAGGGATTAACTGTTTCAAAAGCAGTGCCTAATATCATCAACTACTTTTACTTTTATTACAATATTCCTGAAAGCCTGATTAGTGTTTGTGCATTACGACCTTTTATTGTAATATTTGACTGAAAAATACAACATTTAATCTTACTTTATAATCTGATCATGATCATCAGTATGTTTTCTGTATACAATATTATTTAGCAAAATACTATTCAAGTAATACATATAAATAATAAAAATATATATATACAATGTCTATATCCAATTTAGTTGAGTAATTAGGAAGTACTTTAAAAACAGTACCAGAGTGTGCTGCTAGTCAAAATACACCTTTTTAAATAGTTAATTATAATAATTATTGTTGATTAGTTATTAAAAACATTACAAATGAATTGCAATTAAAGTATACATTATTTCTATAGCCAACATGCACAAGCTTTAAAGGTCTTTAAAGTTCATAATAACTGAGAAACCTGCATCTGCTAACAAAAATTATGTGATATGAACAAACATTTCATAAAAGCTAGTAAATGGTTTGAACCTTAATGTATAAAGTGATTATACATTGACATTTAATGGATCTATAAAAGCTATTAATCAAAAGGTTTTGAAATGCTACTAAAAAGGTTTCAGTACTGTAATCACATCATTATAATATATTTAAAGAATGTCATTAAATTCATATTTACAAATTAATCTTTACCTCCAGCATATAAATTCTCACAAGTTTTACCATTACATTTTATTCCAACCTATTGCAATTGAAAGTAAAAGTCAGTGTCAAATAAAGCTAAATAAAGGTTAAAATCAAAATAAAATACAGAATATTTTTTATAAATCATTACATTTATTTTCCTTAATCGATAAACCTCTGCCCTGATCAAAGGTTCCACCTGCTCATTTTCACATCCGTCATAACCAAACCCAAACATGCTGTCAGCAGTTAGCAGTTAGCAATTAGCAGTTTGCTTACCAGTAGCAGCACAGTGATACAGATAGCGAGCCCTCGCAAGTAACTCCTGCAGCGAGCCATGACCGCTGTCTGAGAGAGTCGAGCTAAAATAGAAACAGAGTAAAGACCAGACCCGACCCTGTGTGTGTGTGTGTGTGTGTGTGTGTGTGTGTGTATGTGTGTGTGGTATGTGTGTGTGTGTGTGTGTGTGTGTATGTGTGTGTGTGCGCACCTGGCATACTATAGTGTTTGCACATCCATACCTATAGGTGACAATGTCCTGAAAGCGGACAAACAGCTGTCCATTCATGTCCAGTTCATAGATAGTTGAGTTGATGGTATATCGACTTGGTCCGTTGCCATGGAGTCTGTGTCCATTGGCAACAACTAAGAAGACTCTATTGCCAATCTGAAACATTTCCCAGTCTGTGGCGCAGAACGTCTAGATTGAAGGTGAGAGAGAAACCATCTTCAAGGTGTAAATTGTGTTTAACTTGCTTATAGTGATACAAAGTGACTAAGTACATTTACTCAAGTACAATGTTTTAAAAAAAACACATGATAAGCTCAGAAAATACAATGCATTATTTCAACATGGGACCATGAGCTTGGGCACCTTACATGTTTAGTTGCGGCCTTTTGTCCTGGTTCAGATTTCCTGGAGTTGTTTGCACTTCCACCAAAGAGATATTTAACCTCTAAGTTTCTCACATGGTTTAATTTTTTTTTATTTTTATGTTTGAGGCACAAACATATTTCATAAGTAAAAATGAACAATTCCAAAGGGGTTATGGTGGCCATGATAAAACTAGTGTAGCAGGACTTATTAATCTTCTTATGACCCCTAAGATTGACCTTTTAGATGGGGCTTGAGTCAGTGGCCAAATTACCTAACTGTATTTAAAGTAGCTAACAGTAGCTCGATATCAACCAGCTACAACAGTAAAATTAACAGTATTAACAACCTGCTAATGTCATAATGTATCAATCAAAGGGGCCATTTTTCTGTGGAACGACTACTTTTACTTCTGATACTACCTCTGTTTATTTTTTACTTCAGTGGGATTTTGAATGTAGAACCATAATGCAGTATTATGTAGTATTATGTAGTATTAAGTCAAAGATTTGAGTTCTTCTTCGACTATTGCTTGCTTGAACATAAACATCGAAAAGGTCAAAGAGAAACAAGCTAAGAGAGTAATACACATTAAAGAAATGGCAAAATGACGTATATTAACTAATTTCTGGATGATTTTATTTTCCACCTGCCCCTGAGGTGTTAAGAGTTCTCTTAAGAGTTCTCACATCCAGCTGTGGAGTTCCCCTAAATCATCTCCTT